AAAAATACCTCATCTCTTTGGGAAAAGAAGACGTTCACATATGAGCTGCTGAGATAACCCAAAATGACGGTAAATAAAATGAAGAGTCAGAACAAAATGAACTCCAAGATCACTCCCTGCAAAGACATTGCATGATTTTTCTCAGTACAAATTAGCAACAGGAGTGGACAGACGGGGTGGGCATGCAGAACCTCCGCTGAGCGTTGCATTTGAATTAGAAGGGGGTGGTTTTTGTGGTGGGGGCACTCGGAGCTGGGGTCCCAGACCGTCCTCCTCTCGGCCACATTCCCTGCTGCGCCTGCTCTTCCAGTCCCAATCCTGATCTGCTTTCGAGGTTTGGGATAAAGGGGATTGCTACCCTTTTGAGATTAAACCTCTTCTAGACTGAATATTCCCTTCCTCTATACTTGCCTTAGCACTTACCTATACAACAGGGGTGTATGCTCAAACAACTAATCTTCAGAGGAAACAGGTTTATGCTTTTTTTTTTTTAAGATTGATTGATTGATTTGAGAGAGAACACGAGTGGGGGAGCGGCAGACAGTGGGAGAAGGAGACTCACTGCCGAGCAGGGAGCCCGATGAAGGGACTCCATCCCAGGACCCCGGGTTCATGACCTGGGCGGAAGGCGGACGCTTAACGACTGAGCCACCCAGGTGCTCAGGTTTATGTTTTTGGTTTTTTTTTTTAATATTTTATTTATTTATTTGAGAGAGAGAATGAGATAGAGCATGAGAGGGGGGAGGGTCAGAAGGAGAAGCAGACTCCCCGCTGAGCAGGGAGCCCGACGTGGGACTCGATCCCGGGGCTCCAGGATCATGACCTGAGCCGAAGGCAGTCGCTTAACCAACTGAGCCACCCAGGCGCCCCCAGGTTTATGTTTTTTAAGAAACAGATTGAAGAAGTCTTTTATTTATTTATTTTTAAAAAATTTTATTTACTTTTGAGAGAGAGAGAATGACAGAGAGAATGAGAGGGGGGAGGGGCAGAGGGAGAAGCAGACTCCCCGCTGAGCAGGGAGCCCGATGCGGACTCCAGGATCATGACCTGAGCCGAAGGCAGTCGCTTAACCAACTGAGCCACCCAGGCGCCCTCAGGTTTATGTTTTTTAAGAAACAGATTGAAGAAGTCTTTTAAAAGGCAGGATTTTCCACAGAAAATAAAGTAGTGGCCTTCATGCAACAGCTTCCAGGATTGATGTTTTATTATTTGAGTGTTTACTATTTGTTTCCCCTACATTATCTAATTGAATACTCACACAATTTTTCAAGGTAGGCTCTATTCCTACCCCATTTTGCAGATGAGTTCATTGAGATCACTGAGATTAAGGGCCCTGCCCCGAATCCCACAGCCGCCTTTGGGGAGGCAGTGGAGGGCTGCCTGCAGAGCCCACGCTCTTCTCTCTCATGCTTTCTGGGAAACTGAAGGGCAGGTCACTTGTTCTCCCTTCAGTTATGGATGGAAGACCAGGAGGACGTGCTGCACGGGACAGGTTTTGCCCCTTTGCCTGGACCAGCCTGCACGGTGTTGCAGCGAGTGCACCTCTGAGTGGAAACCTCTCTGGGCTTCCATCGCTAAATGAGGCAATAGCACTAGACCGCCTGAGGCTGAGCTCTCCCTGGGCTGACATTCTGTGATTACTGAGCATTGGTGGAAGAGGGGGGCAGCTAATTGAGTTAGTAATTTGGTTGCCAGGGTAACTCTTTCCTGATTGGAAGGAAGGGATCACAGGGTTCAACACAGACTTCGCTGGATAGGAAAGTGGTGTCTGATCTTCGTTCCTTGTCTCTGCTTATGAGCTGAAAAAGGAAGGGTGAAAATTGAATCCAAATATTGTAGCATTTGGGCCTAATTTAGAACGAAATCTTGGGGTGGCCGACTCTGCAGTCCTCCGTGAGGCATGCCATTCTTTATCTCACAGTGCTTGTTATTTGCCACTTTCTGTGTTTTAATTTATTTTGTATTTTTTTCATTGACTTTAGAGCTTGGTCTTTTATTCTATTTTCTGTGGCCAGCTAGCTGTCTTCAATAGGATGCTGAACATTTTGTAAGAAAATGGTTGTGGCATAGCTGGCTTTCTCTAGTTCAGCCTAGGAGTCTGGGGTAGGGTTTTCCGGGTTCCGGGGGCAGGGCCGCCATGTTGGACAACGGCAGGGGTGTCATTCATGTGTGAAGTGGTGCGGTGAACAATATCGGACTGTGTGTGATGGTACTAGGCTACTGGAAAGAGGCCTGAGCTGGGAGCCCAGAGACCTGGGTTCTAGACTCTGATAGGCCTTTGACTTCATAAGTGACTTCGGTAGGTCACTCTGCCCCGTCCCTTCTGGGACTATCTTTCCACCTATAAAATGGTCTAATAACTTAAAATCATTTGTGTACACCTTGACTTATTCCGAAAAAGGATTTTGGGGGTGACTAGTAAGAGCTGCAGGATTTTTAAAAACAGGGGCAGTTAGGGTTATAGTGTATTTAAAGTGCCTGACAGTAGGCATTCGTTTTCTCCAGTCTTCCTTTTTTAAGGAGGGAGTAGTACTGCGTGAGCCCCATGACTGAGTCTAGCCTTAATCATTACAAGAAGCCAGCACAGTTTGTGCAGGGCATCGAATCCTGGCCAGTTTGACCCCGGACTGTTCCTAAGCCTTCGACCTCCAGGAAATCCCATCCCCACTTAAGTAGTGGGGCTGAGGACCTCAGGGCTACTCCAGTGCCAGGGGCAGCCAGCACCTGACCACTTTCCTCCTGCTCAGTGCTCAGAGGTGGCAGCCACCTGCACCCTTGGAGCCCCTCATCCCCCTTCCTCAGTTTGTTAGAGCCTCCATAATCACCCTTCCCTTGCTGAACGGCACTGGACAAGCCTCCCACAGCCCTTCCTGGACAGCTTGTGGGAAATAGCTGGCTTGGTGTGCTCTGGGGGTACTTCTCACAGGCCATCAGGGGCTGTGGGTGTATTTGAGAGAATGGGGAGGTACAGACAGCAGGCATGGAGTCCGAAAGGGTGTTAGAAAATCAGGACTGTATCATAGCAGTCAACCCAGAAAGCATTGTTGGGACCATGGCATGCTCTTCTTTCATGAGAAACTGAGGACCCAGTCGTTTGGCTACCAAGGGGCAGTCCTGGGAAGGAAGGAGTAGGGACTAGACTGTTCATCTCCAGTACGTGCCAGTAACCATGAACCTTTTCCTATTCTCACTTCTCGTCTGTTTTATGGATGAGGAAACCAAAGCCCACAGAGGTTGAGCAACTTGTCCAAGGACCCCATGTAATAAGCAGCCTTGAACCCTGGATAATCTGTCGCCTAGTGTGGCTCCTTCCGGGAGGGAACAGACTGAAGTAACTCAGAAAGGGAGGGACAGAGACTGGCTGTTAGGTCACTGCTTAGGGAGAGAACGGTAGCAAACATGCCAAGGGCAAAGAGAGGAGTCCTTTCAGACGCCGCCAGCCAGCTTTCCCACAGTGGGTTTGTAGCCTGATCAGCCCCTACCCAAGAGCTGCCCCAGCCTTAAGTACTGCCTTGTGAAACAAGTCCACTTAATGAACACAGTAGAAAGAAAAAAAAAAAAAAAAAGTGATGAGCCTCCCAGTCCGCAGTGATGGGCTGATCTGATGTCCTCTGCAATACACGCAGAGGCAGCTTCATAAAACAGCTCCATCACGGACTAGTAATCCAAAAGGCTCTAAGGTTTTAGTGAATGGGATTGGTCCAAAACCTGACCTCACTTTCATTTAATTTCATGCCAGCACCAATACACACCCAGCCACGCAGACCCTGCTTAACTAGGGAGCTGCTCAGACACAAAGGCGCTCTAATTACCATCCACAAGCCAGGCTGACAAGGATTTCAAGTGTTTTTAGGTTTATGGATGAGAGAAATGTGTTCTGTGCATCTTTCCGACCGGAGGCAAGAGTAAGATAAAACCAACCAACCAACCAACCAACCAAAAAACCCCAACAAAAACCCCAATGCATTTATTAAAAACAAGTATTTCAGTTAAGTTAAAATCCTATAATCAGGACCACCACAATTCCAGACACTCCGGTGCGAAGTGTAGATACGTCAATAGCCACATCTGGATGATGAACAAGCCATTGAATCTTTTTAAAACTAAAACACCAACAAAACGGTTTTCGATCCCTCAGAGTAAGTGAACAGTATGTTAAAAACACTTCACCACGCTTCGCAATGGCAAAGCCTGCAGCTTCTCCGTTTGGAGGGTCACATTTTCTACTCGGTTTCCTTCACTTACAAAGGCGAGCTGGCACGGCTGGGGGAGGGGCAGAGGGAGGACATCAACTCCGTCTATCCAGGGAATTGCAGCTGTTATTGCAAATGGCCCCGGAGAGCCCATTATAAGCTGCTGTGCGAGGCTGTGTCCCCGGAGTGCCCGTCACGTGGCGTCTCCCCAGCCCCCAGCCCGGGCCCCGAGGAGCGCCAGCGCCACCCGCTAGGAGTACGACAGCAGAGCCGAGCGGGAGTGCCGGGCCCGAGGCTAAGACTCTGGGCAGTGTCTATGAAAGCCCCGGGCGCGGCCACCGGCGGAAGGCACCGGCGCCCGGCACGTCCCCGCCTCCCCACACCCGCGGTGGCCGCGGTGCGCGTGTCCTTAGGAGACTCCAGCACTTGCAAAACACCGAGCACTTCTCCCGAGTACAGGCAGAACCCGGCAACTCTTCTGCTCTCCTGGAGCCCCGGAACCCTGCGGGCGCTGAGGAAACAGTGACCTTGAACCTGAGGAGGAGGGGGCCGGCTGTGAAAATATTTTAGAGAGGAAGGAGAGTTCGCTCCGAGGCTCACCTTACCCTTGCCGCCGCAGCGCCCGCCCCCGCCTCCCCTCCCCAGCGCGCGCGGGACCCTCCCCCGCCCCTCCGAGAACCGCAGCCAGTTGCAACGCGGAGGCAGAGCAAACGTTACTGCTATTCAACTCCCCAAAAGGTCCTTTCATGGCACCGCGTGTTTTGTATTAAGAACCAGCACCCACAAGACATGAGATGGGTTTTTTTCAAGAGTCGTAAATGTTCAAGTCTGGCAGTTAGAGGTTCTCCCTGAAATGATGGTCTGTCTACTCATGTTCCCCTCCCCCAAAGTGGATCAGGAACCAGCCCTGAAAAAGTAAAGCAAGTAACTGGGATGGATCATCCTCCTCCTTTGGGCGCTCGGCGATGCTGAGACGCATGGAGTGTGGCCACATGGTCGCCGGGCTGGAGGGCCCCGAGAGGCGACGTGGAACTGCACGCTATACCGCTGGGGCTGGTCACGCCAAATAAGGAGTACTACTGAATGTGAGCTTGGGGTGCGTTCTGTAATCCGCCTCAAATAGGGCCAAGTTCTTCTGCTTTTCAAACGCATCGGGGCCCTCCATTAGTTCCCCGCGAAAATATTCGCGGTTTTTCCATTCCTCGTCTGCATTAGCTTGTTTGCCCACTTCCAAAAACGCGAGTTTACCAGTCTGAGTAGAGATGCAGCCCTCAGGGGAATCCCATGCCCTCCAGGCAGAGGCTGGCGCTGTGGCCACTCCCGGGGTGTTAGCTGCCGGGGACAAGAACGCCGTCGCCAGTTCTTAGCTGAGCCCTCCTCCCGGACGCTCCGGGGTCGCTGCAGGCCGCGCGAGGGCTGCGGGGCGAAGGGGGCTCATGCACTGGGGCCGACAGAGGCCCGGTGAGCGGGCGTTGGGGAAGCTTTGCGTGTAACTGCAGCCGTCTCGAATGAAGCCTCCGCACCGCCTCCTTGATGAGGTTCCCCGAGAGCACCAGCTGCTGCAGGAGCCGGTGCGGGTCGTCGTCGCCGGTGCGGGATTCGGGCTGGGGCCCGCGTCGCTGTTGCAGGCGGCGGGAGGCGGCGGCGCCCCGCAGCCAACCTCGCCGGCACGGGCCCGACAGCGGCTGCGGGGCGCCCCGCTTGTCCGCTCCCGAAGGCCCGTCAAGGCCGGGCTGAGGGGCCAGTGGGGACAGCGCGCTGGGGCCTGCGGCGAGCTCGGCCACGAAGTAGGGCGCAGCCCGGCCCCGCACGCGGCCGCGGTCCCCGAGGGCGCAGCGCAGGGCCCCCGGGGGCGCCGGGCCCACCGCCTCGGCCGGCGCCGGCGGCAGAAGCAGCGGCAGCGCGGGGGGCCGGGCCTTGTCCGCCCGCACGGCCGCCGGGGGCCGCGGGGGCTGCAGCGGCGGCCCCGGGGGCGCGCACGGGGAGGCCGGGCTGTCCTGCGCCGCGTCCAGCTGCAGCGTCTCGCCGATCTGGGCCACCAGCAGGTCCACCTCGCCCGAGCCGCCCAGCGTCACCGACTGCTCCAGCAGGAGGAAGCTGTCCTCCTCCTCCTCTGCCTCCCCCTCCGCTTCCTCGCCGGCTTCCTCTTCCTCCTCCCTCCGGCACGGCATGGCCCCCCGCCCGGGCACCCGGAGCTCTGCGGCCGGCGCTGGCGGCTCGGCGGCCGGCGGGGCTCGGTGGGCCGCGGCGGAGCCGGGCGCGGGGCGCGGGGCTGAGGCCGAAGCGGGGGCGGGGGCGGGGGCCCCGGGCGGACGCGGAAGCGAGAGCCCGCCAGGCACTCGCGCCGCGCGCCTGCAGCCGCGGGAGCCGGAATCCTACCGGCTCGGGTTGATTTGTAAACAATGGGTGACGTCGCCGCCGGGCCCTACCACCGCGCCGGGCAAGGGGTGCGCCGAACCGTTGAGGGGCGGGGCGCCCGCTGGGCCCGGGTGCAGGGTGAAGTCTAGCTGCTTCTGAGCTCCCCAACCCGGAGTGGTGGGTGCAGGAGGGCGCTGGGGTGCGGATACTCGCTCTGGCAGCCGGGCGTGGTTGGCAGTTCCCGAAAATGAACACCGGCGTGGACTTAGTTGGTTTCTTCCACACACAAGCACAGACACTTACACCCACACACTCCCCTCCTCTAGGCGCGTCTGCTCGTCTGGTTTTGGCATTTGCGCTTTAGAGGTCCGGGTGCCAGCGTCTGGGAAGTGATGACCTGGCGAGTGAGGCGAGGAAGGAGATCTCAGGCTAGGGGTCTGTCTGGAGGTTAGGGAAACGAGGCTGACACGGATGAAAAGGAAGACCGGGGACCTTGTGGTTCGATGGGGGTGGGGGCGGGGGAGCGGTGGCAGAGTTAGAATTGGCGAAGAAAGGCGGGATGAGTATTTCTTGACCGGGAGCATGGGTATATGCGGGCCTGGACTGGGGCTGGCGGTCCTGGAGAGGAGGAGGTCGTTTGTCTTGGGCGGGGGTGTGAGCTGAGCTAGAAAGTTCTTTTTGTTGTTGTTGTTTTTAAGATTTTATTTATTTATTTGACAGAGAGATAGAGAGCACAAGTAGGCAGAGAGGCAGGTGGAGGGAGAGGGAGAGGGAGAGGCAGGCTCTCCGCCGAGCAGGGAGCCCGATGTGGGACTCGATCCCCGGATCCTGGGATCATGACCTGAGCCGAAGGCAGCCGCTTAACCGACTGAGCCACCCAGGCGCCCCTGAGCTAGAAAGTTCTTTTAAAGAATGCCTCAGCTCAGCAGGGGAGTATCCTCTTGGAGGGGGAAGCAGGGGAGGAATATGAGCTATGTGGGTGATAATGGAGGTATGGATCAGTTTAATCCTTCAAGATATCATGGTTGGCTTAATGATTAACCAAGACTTCATTGTTTAAAAGGAGGAGAGATGGAAAAATGATCCTTTACTGTCTTGTTGCCTGGAGGTATTAGACCTTTATTCAAAATCCCAAATCCCTCAGGCCTAACTTCCAAACTCTACACTTGTAGGTAGACTTTTGGTGGCCCAGTCCTTATGAGCTAACCAGGGGAGGGGCATTATCAGGGTGAGAGAAATATTCAAAACCGGATTATGGTGATGGTTGAATAACTTAATTTACTAAAAATCATTGAACATTCTCTTAAAATGAGTGAATTTCATATGTAAATTATGTCAATAAAGCTATTTTAAAAAATCAGCCACAATGCATGTACACACAAATATAGAAGCCAGGCGGTAGTATTTAGAATACAGAGCAGGACAGCAGTCTAATTCAGAAAGGGAGTGCCAGAGGAACTCGGGGTTCCAGATAAAGAGACTCTGGGGTCTTGGTGGCCAGTTCTAAGACGGGTAATTAACCGGAGCAAACCTTCAAAGACAGATGGCATGGAGGGAATAGGTGGGTAGTTGTTTAAAAAGAGTTGGGGTTATTCTTTCCAAGTGTGGAGAGAAGAATGTGGGGATAAAGGAAGAGGCAGTTTGAGGAAAGCCAGTGAATTTTTAAATCTTGGAAATCTGGACTTCTACAGGATGTCATAAAATTCATCACTTCTTTTTAGTAGGCGCCTAAGGATTTTCTCTCTATATAATCCTAACATCTACAAATAAAGATAGTTTTACTTCTTTCTTTCTTTCTAGTCTGGATGCCTTATCTTTCTTGCCTAGTTGTCCAGCTAGAACCTCTAGAACAATGTGGAGTAGAAATGGTGAGGGCAGACATCCATGGCTTGTTCCTGATCTTAGGGAAAAGCATTCAGTCTCTCATCATCAAGTATGATGTTGTCTCTATAAAAAGATGGCTTCATCAGGTTGAGGACATTCCCTTCTATTTCTGGTTTGTTGAGCATTTAAAAAGATATTTATTTGAGAGAGAGAGAATGAACGAGCAGGGAGGATGGGCAGAGGGAGAGAGAGAAGTAGACTCCCCACTGAACAGGGAGCTTGACGTGGAGCTCCATCCCCGGACCTGGAGATCATGACCTGAGCCGAAGGCAGATGCTTAACTGACTGAGCCACGTAGGTGCCCCTATTGAGCATTTTTATCTTGAAAGGGCCATCCCCTCATTTTAAATCATTATTCATTTGAAAGTATGGTCAAGACAGACATTTGTTAGTACAATATTCTGAACCTAATTATTTAAAAATCTAAATGCAGCTTACAATTAGTAGCAGCTTACAAGCTGTGTTTTTATTCTTTGGTTTAAAATTTGTAAGCCTCATACATCGTTCTGGGCATGAAAAATAGTACAACCACTTTGGGAAGAGGTCTGGCAGTTTCCTACAAAGCTGAACATACACTTACCCTATGAAAGAATTTCAATCCTAGGCATTTACCTAAGAGAAATAAACGCTTAGGTTCACACTGCGGCCTATGGCTGAGGATGAGCATGGCAGCTTTATTCATAAAACCTGGAAACAGCATAAAAACAGCAGCTCAAGTGTTTATCAGCAGGTGAATGGGTAAATGATGGCACAGACCCATGATGATGGTGGCAGAATCCTCTTCAGCAACCAAAGGGACTGGAGTATTGCTACATGCAGTAACATGGATGCATCTCAAAAACCGTATGCTGAGTGAAAAGGAAGAGCACATACTGTATGATTGTGTTTATATGAAGCTCCAGAACAGGCAAAATTAATTTTTGGTGGGAAAAAAATCAGAAGACAGATTGCCTTTGGAGAGGGTGTGGTGGGGACAAGGACTGAACTGGAAGAGCCCGATGGTTGGGTTTCACAGGCATATGCACGTGTTAAAACTCACTGAACCATGCACCTAGAATTCACTGGGTGTAAATTTTACCTGCAAAGAAAAAAACCAAACAAATACTAGAATTCTAGTTAATAGACGGGCTGATGAGTGTAGGGGTGAAGTGTACTGATGTTTGCGATTTATTCTCAAGTGTACACAAACACGAGATGGATTAATATATGGTTAGAAGGATGGTTAAGACAGGAGACAGGTAGATATACGGTAAAGCATGAATAGTGAAATGTGACATTAGTTACCATATGAGCCAGCAATTCCACGCCTTAGATATGTACCTGAGAGAATTGGAAACCCATGTCCACACAAAAAATTGCACAGAAATGTTCGTGGCGTTATTTGTAATAGCCAAAAAGTAGAACAATGCGAATGTTCATTAGCTGATGAATGGAAGAAAAGAATGTTATCTCTTCATACAATGGATTGTCATTCACCATAAAAAGGAATGAAGTACTGTTCTATGCTACAACATGAATGAACCCTGAAGACCTATGCTAAATGAAAGAAACGAAAACACAAAAGGCCACATCTCGTATGATCCTATTTATATGAAAGGCCCAGAAAAGACAAATCCGTAGAGACAGAAAGTAGATTAATGGTTGGCAGGGGATGGGAGGAGAAGGGGGTCGGGACTAACTCCTAATGTGTAGGGGGTTTCTTCTGGGGTGATGAAAATGTTTTGGAATTAGTGGTGATGTTTGTACAATGTAGTGAATATACTAAAAGCCACAAGTGGACACTTCAAAAGTATATGTCAGTTCTTTAAATGCTAAAAAATATTAATGGTAGAATATAGGTGCTGGGTAACAGGATAGTTCATGGTCAAATTCTTTCAATTATGTTGACGGAAAATGTTTAGGAATCAAGTGCTAGAAAATAATAAGCCACACAAAAGAGCTGATTAATTTTATGACTTTCCTTTAGAACTGCCCAGGGCCTGGGGGGCTCAGGGCAGGCCACTGGGAAGGAAGGGAGCAAGGAGACACCCGGCTGGTGGGTTGCCTGCCGCCTGGCATGGGAACTGTGTAGACTCATCCTCCAGGGCAGAAAGGATGTAGGCAGTCTGTTGCAGGTTGATTAAGTTCCTGCCCCCACTGTGCAGGATTTCAAACTGTATGGCAGGAATGAGGCTTGACACTGTTTTCCGAGGCCAGCAGCATCCCCGAGTGCTGAGCGGCATCCCGGAGCGCTGAGCGGCATCCCGGAGTGCTGAGCAATGGGCCTCTGCCGCAGCAAGGCAGACACGGATCACCTCTTTACCAGTCCCTTCATTGCTGCCCAGCGCCCAGACCCGGAGGCTCTAGGAGCTGAGGTGGTTGGGGAGGAGGGATTTGTACACAGAGAATTTAAGAGATTAGGGATTCACACTGAGATGCAAAGAGGTGCTAATGAGATATTAAACACCTCTCAGGAGAGTAGCAGCTGAGGAAGCTGGAAACGGAAATATCAGAAGTTGAAAATGTCTTGAGGCTGCTGATAGGACAGGAAAGATAACTGGCCACTGGTTAAATGGGGTGCTAGGAACAGTGGGGTCTGTAACTTGGTGGTTAAACTGGATAAGCGGCCTTGGGTTAACACTGATTCAGGAGTGTGAAATATTTTGCCATTTATAAAAGTAGAAAGGACTCAACATGGGATGAGGTTGAGAGGGACGCGGAAGGGCAGGTGGAGACTTGAGTAGTGCGCTGAGTTAAATGGGATTCCCTCCAGATTCCTGTCTGCCGGGAACCTGTAAATGGGACCTTATTTGGAAAGAGGGTCTTTGCAGATGTAATCAAGTTAAGATGAGGTCAAACTGGATTAGGGTAGGCTCTAATGCAGTGGCTGGCATCCTTATAAAAGAGGGAAATTTGGACACAGAGATACACAGGAAGAATGCTGTGTGTCTGCAGAGGCAGAGGTTGGAGAGATGCTGCCACAAGCCAGGGAATGGTAAGGATTGTCAGCAATCACTAGAAGCTTACAGGGAGCATGGAGCAGCTTCTCCCCCTGAGTCCCCAAGAAAGAACCAACCCTATTAACTGATACCTTGATATTCAACTTCTGGCCTCCAAAATTGT